GCCCGAATTCGCAAAAACCAGACAGGTGGTGCTGCTCAATCTCGCCTCGCTCGACACCAAACTCGTCACCATCGACGTGCCCCTGTAGCTCTCGCGCACTGCACATGGAATCAAACGGCGACGAACAATGCCTTTTTGGTATAAGTTGAGATTGGTTCAGCCTTTTAACGACCGTGTGGTCGAGGGTAGGCCGATGTCGCTGATCTGTTCCCACACCGTTCGCTGTCTACGCAGCGCGTTGCCTGCGTCGACGGTGACCTCGGCATCGCCCTGGTCCCATATGCTCATTCCGCTGTACTGTCCGCCGGCGTTGTTGATGAGGTCGCGCAAGGCGTCCCATTCGTCCAGCACGACTCCGCTCAGCGATGTTGGGTGGATCGTGGGGATGTTGAGTACCGGGTCCCACTCGCGCTCCAGATCCTCGAACGTCGCGTCCAGACCGCCAGCCAGTCCTCCCGTCTCGTCCCTTGCTGATGGCAAGCATGCGGTCGAAGAGTCTGCAGCAGAAGAAGCAGGCGTTTGGTACAGAGGGAACGAGTCGGCGAGAAGAGTTCGGAACCTGTCGCACCGGTTGTGTGCCGTCTGGATCGTGAGCCTGCGAAACTTGTCGTTCTTCGAAGGCCGCGCAGGTGCCAGTCCTTCATTGAGCTCGAGCGCCGATAGCTCGTTCCAGAGTCCCTCGATGGCAGCAGGTGCCCGTGCAGCAGGTGGAGCGGTTGACGTCAGGCCTGCAGTAGCACTAGCCTCTTCTGCCGGCGTGGTTAGTGCATCAGAGTCGGATGGCAGTTGCGGCTCCGCAAAATGCTTGCTCGGCCTTTGCAGCAGTCTACGCAAGACATTGCTGTCCCTCGTGATGTCTCCGTAGTCCTTGGGCGCGGACCAGATGAGCCACTCCAGATCGGCAAGCGTCCTGATTTCGTCTGCTTCTTCGAACGCCAGGTTCGTGTCGACAATCCTCAGCACCCGCACCTTCCTAAAGATGGGTGCACTGAACCCACCCACAAAGCTGTGCGGGTTTACGCTCGTGAGTCGGACCGGCTGACACGCCGAGCCGTACTTGTGCGCAGCGTGCAGACTGAGCAGCTCGCCGGCAAGCGCCACGTCCTGCAGCTTTCTGCATGAGCGCAGCACGATGCGCACCGAGGCGTGCACGTGCTCGCGCATGTCGGTGATGTACGCCGCTTCGTTGTACGACGGTGGCGACAGGGCGGTGATGAGGTCCGACGACGATGAGTCCGGTCCTACCCAGAGTCTGCGCACATGGCGAGCGACCTTTGTGTCAGAGTTGACCAGGCCTGCAAATGCGTGTATCGTCGCGGACGAGCACAGCGCAACAGTGGCGTAGATGAGCGGGGCGAGCCGATCGTGGTAGTAGCGCGAAAGGCACAACAGGTGCAGCTTGCTTGTGTTCTCAGTCGCCGTGGATGCCGCAAACTCCAGTATGTATGTTATAAGCTCGCTGGGTAGCGATGATGCTAAGCTACGAAGCCGAAGCGTTGCCGGATCTTCGCGGCCAGCATTGCCATTGTCGTTGGTGCTGTGACCTGCTCGCTTGGCCTTGGCGGACTTGGTCGGCTTGGTCACCCCAGAGCCAGTCCTTGTCGGGGCGGGTACCATCGCTGTCAGATTGGCCACCTACGGTATTGTGACCATGACGAAGTTTCAGGTTGGGTCCTTCTTGGGCTCGAGAGCGAAGGTCTCTCTGGTGATGGAGAGCAGGCAGGTCGGACAAAGCTCGGCACATGACGCTTTCGAGCCTCCGCTCCTCCACACCGGACAACCCCGATCGGATCAGCCCGATTGGCTGGTCAGCGTTCTTTGCGACTGAATTCTCCACATCGGCACCCCGATCAAGGTGGAGAACGCGAACCCAACTCAGCCCTTTTGGACTTGTCCCGTTGCGCCCAGCTTGCCGATGCTTGACTAGCTCCCACCATCTCCAGGTCGGCCACCTTTCCCTCTGACTTGGTGCGCATCAGTGCATCCGCCAGCTGCCCAAGATGGCTGACCGCAAGGCACTAAACCACTACTATCCGCCGGACTTTGATCCGTCCAAGATCCCGCGGCGCAAACAGCCCAAGGAGCAGCAGCAGACGGTGCGTCTGATGGCGCCGTTTTCGATGCGCTGCAACTCGTGCGCCGAGTACATCTACAAGGGCCGCAAATTCAATGCGCGCAAGGAGCTTGTGGTGGGCCAAGACTACTACGGCATCAAGATCTTCCGCTTCTACATCAAGTGCACGCGCTGCTCTGCCGAGATCACATTCAAGACCGACCCGAAGAACGCGGACTATGTGGCGGAGCATGGCGCGAGCCGCAACGTCGTGCCCATGAAGGACGATCGGGCTGAAGAGGGCGACGAGCTGCTGACGGAGGAAGAGAAGCTGGAGCGCAAGCTCGAGAAGATGGAGGGCGATCCGATGAAGCAGCTCGAGGAGCGCACGCTCGACTCGAGGCGCGAGATGGAGATCATGGATGCGCTGCAGGACATCCGCACGCGCAATGCAAGGCTCGAAAGAGTCGACGCGGACGCTGTACTGGCCAAGCTGCACGACAGGCCCAACGGTCCGAGCGGAAGCCTTGCGTCCTCCAGTGCCATCGAGGGGCAGGAACAGGCGCAGGCGGCGGAGGAGGAGGACGAAGCTCTCGTTCGCAAGTACTTTGGCAAGGCGCTCGACGGTCCGTCTTTGTCTGCGAATGGCAGCGCCAGCGGCGTGACAGTCAAGCGCAAGCTGCTCGACGACCACGAGGCGGAGCCGGACGTGCACACGCTGCTGGCGCTCAAAGCGGCGTCCCAACCCAGCGCCGCGCCCACACACACCTCTGCGTCAGCGACACCATCGGCATCCGCAGCACCGCCGGCCAAGAAGAAGAAGAACGCACCCAACGCATTCGGCCTCGTGCGCAAGAAGAAGTAGGACCTCCCCAATATACCCGTCGCGGATCGCCGCGGCCTCGTCTGTACTTGTATCCCTCGCAACTCGTCCAACTCGACGCCTGCACTTTTCGCATCTCACAGCATCCCACTTGGAGCGGCCGGGCCTTTGATTTTTGCTGACAATCTCCACACGGCTTGAACGCAGAAAAAAAGAACGTTCATTGCTCGAAAGACAGAACAAGTCGGGAGAAGGTGAAAGAGAGAGAGAGAGAGA